CATGTCAATGGCCATAGTTAGCTTGCCACTAACCTACCCACTCCTCACACACTCAAAGCAAATCTATTATTATGCCAGCCTGTCGATGTAAATGTCTGTGTTGATAGAATAATGTTTGAAATAAAACTAACATTACATCGCATGAATCACTGCATGCTGAGGGACTATTTTCTCATATATCAGTCCGCCACTGCCAAGCTTTCTATCAGGAAGTACAACTTGCTGCTGCTGCATAAATCACATAAATCCTTCAAATGCAAGGTTGGTTTTCTTCTAAAATTATTCTATCAACACAGACATTCACATCGACAGTCTGGCGTAATAATAGATTTGCTTTGGGTGTTTTGTGGACTGGGTAAGACTGTTTTTAGTTGTGGGCTAACTATGGCCATTGACATGCACTAGCCTAGCACCAGCGACCTCTGCAAATACAAGGACTGGATGAATATTTTAAAAAAGTGTCTCCACACGTCTCCAACACTCTGGCTCACTAGGAAATGAGGTCCTATGTCCAAAATTCCAGACTGGCCCTTAGAAATTAAAAAGTAAAAATTTGCCGAGCATCCTAATTATATGCTGTGATACGCTGATGAGCACATTTCACAACTTTCAGAGGCTAGACTAGTGATAACGATAATGCTAACAGGAACTAGTACACTTCCTGGTTCATGGAGGATAAAACACGTTATAATTAGTTGCACACAGTACGCAGCAGTCTTATTTAACTAAGAATATACCGTATTTTTTGGACTATAAGGTGCATTTAAAATTCTTTAGTTTTTTCAAAAATTGACGCCTTATAATTCGGTGCAGCTTATGTATTAATTCTGGTTGTGCTTACTGACCTCAAACTGATTTTATGTGGTACACGGCGCTCAAAAATCTGTCAAAATGTTTTGTATGATTTAGATAAACTATGAAGCTGCACCGCTGGATTGTCAGAGCATTACGGCTACTGTAGTCAGGATCCTCGTGGAGAAAAGGGTGAAGTATAATTCTGTGTAAGGATTTGTGACATCAGTGAAATGCTACAGAGAATATACTGCATGCCCATTCATATATATGGTCTATGCATATGACCTACAGACTTATAATCGCTGAAAAGTTTCACATGAACCATCTCCAACGCGATAGACACACAGAACAGACTCACCATCACCACTTATATTCCACTGAGTCGTGTCCTTTAGTCTGAGAGAAACGGCACAAGGAACGGATGATTTTTTCAGGGCTTATTTGTGGTTTTAAGTTTCGATTCTGTAAAACGCAAACAGATGTGCTCAAAGCTGCAATAAACACATTATTACTCAATGTATATTTGAGTTCTCCTTGTAGGAAATAAAAAACAAACTTAAATTATCCACCCACATGCATTTTCATAATACACATTCACCAAGACAGGGAGGCAATGCCGGCTGAATCGATCGTGGATGCCTGAGCTAAGGGATCAGACTCAAGCTTTGTCTGTTTGCTTAATGTGCCTCATAGTCCAGTGTGCCTTATGTATGAAAATAGACGAGAGAATTCAACATTACTGATATAGCGCCTTATAATCTGGTGTCCCTTATAGTCCAAAAAATACAATATCTACAGGGGCAAAAGTTGAAGTCAGATGCCCTTACTGACACATCCTTCTATATATATTTAGACTTTACCTGCTTGTCCTGACAGAGATAAAGAAATTTAATGCAAAAGAAAAATTCAACTCTGTAAACTGGACAAAAGTCTGGTTTCTTTTGCTTTGGATCAGACCTGGATGACTGAGAGATTACACTGACAGAACTTCAATGCCTTACTCCATATCTCCATGGAGACAAGCATATGGTGTATATACCTTGCACCATAAAAGTTCCACAATAAATGCCTTAAAGTCTTAAATCACTTTTAGTACAATGACTCCTGCACATGAAGACCCCAGCTCCCATTAAGAGATAGTGGATTTTTCACCAGGTTAAAAAAGTTTACTTCTTGGTTCGGAAATTACGGAAGTCCTAACAAAAGGCGATTGGATTGTATATAAGCATTTAATTGGGCTATTGTGATGGACCAATAAAAGGAAAAAAACAAGTTGGGCAAAAAAACAGGCTGAGTTTGAGGTATTCACAAGTTCATTTAGCTTAAAGACATTAGCCGTGGAGGAGGAAGCAGCGCGGGAGTTGGAGTTTTAATGAAAGTTTGTTTGGCCTCAGGTTAAAAACAAGTATTAACAAAAAGAAGAGACCAGAAAACTTCAGTCTCAGAGCAAAAGTGAATGTGCTTTAGGGCCAGAACAAAGACAAGTTTCATTAAAGTGACTTAGTTTACTTTAATTTTGTTTTTCTTGTCAGAGGTTGTGACCAGATGGCTGTTCCCGCAGGTTCAGGTCTGCTAAGCCAACTAAGGCAATTAATCAACTTTTAATTGAATCGAGAGCCAGTTGTTTTCAATTAATGATCTGCATGTTTTGTTTTTTACAAAGAGGTCTTAAGCCAATCCTCTGTTAGTGAAATTACATGTCAGATCTGTGGTGAGGCGAGTTAGAATACATGTCTTACATTATTAAGCAATTAGAGAACTTATAATTAAATATATGTGAGATAGCTGAGTTTAATGTCACACTGTGGAACACTGCAGGCAAAAACAACATCATCACCATAGAGACAATCAAGTTGCGAATAGAGCGGCCCCAACCACCAGAAAAGTTACGTAATGCCCCTTTACATGGCAATGACCAATAGCCTTTCTTGTTTATGTTTATGAAATGAATATCGAAAGCCATTGTTTTTTTTTAGAGCAGAAAATTTAAACTGAAAATTAAGAAAAGACATTGATTAATACACATACATATACTTTCTTAAGGCCGCAAAGTAATTTACCCAAACTAAATGAAATCTATTACCATCCATAAATGTATGACACCCTCCTGTGGTGTAGGTTGACCTTAACCCCTTAACGCCTGAATTCATATAAATCTATATAAAAAGGTTTTGTGTGTGTTTTTGCCTTTAAGTGGGTGGTAAATTAATTTGAGATTATTAATTTGACTATAGGAAAATAAATAAATAAATAAATAAATTTGGGTATGTTGCATTGTATACTGCATACTCACTAACCGGCACTGGGGAAATGCAGCCGCTATTTCAGCTTATATCGTGATCCAAATGGTTTGTTGCATATTTGTGACACTTGGCATTAAGAGGTTAACTTAAAGCTACACTATGTAACTTTTTAGCCAAATTATACATTTAATGAAAAGCTTGTTTTTTTCAGTTTGATTGTGTTTACTGCACTAAACATGCGTCTTTATTCTGAGCATGCTTGCATCTCCACAAACCTGACTCTTATTTAGCTTGGAGCTGAGCCTCATTCTGCTTGTCTCCATAGAAAAGTTGTTCTTTTGGCTATAATATTCCACTTTATCTGTCTCCCTGGAGAATGTTCTGTATGGAAGAATGGTTTTAACTTTCTATCTCCATGGAATCATGCAGGTGACGTGCCACTTCAAGAAAGCTACATATTGTAACTTGAAACCTATATCCAGTTAAACAAACAAAAAAAGAAAAATTTGACTTGCAACTTTTCTGATGAAGAGTCCGCCACCTGTTTATCTTCCTGGAGATATTACTGCTTTGGCTTTGAATATTTGGCAATCACAATGGAGACAGGTTAAAGGAGAACCAAGCCTGTACTTGGAAAGAGTTCATGTTTGAAGGTATTTTAAGCTATAAAACATGTAACTGAACAAATGCAAGGGAGATATGTTTAATGCCTTATTGTGGAACATTCTAGGCAAAGACATTACATCTCCATGGAGACAAGCAAGTAGCAAACCCAGCACTTTTAAGTTACTGTACATAATGCACCTTTAAGTCAAGAGAGCCCAAATTATCACACAGACGAAATCCAAAATGACGAAACTGAGAGCATGAATTCTTTTACTCAGGTTGTCCATGTGCAGTGAAAATGACAATGGATGCCCCCGTACTCCGCTCCAATCAAACCCACTGACTCGTCTGATTAAATTACCTCCGTGTGCTGCCTCCAGGGCCAGGGCTCAGCTGTGGAGTGCTCCCCCAAATCAGAGCTCCTGTCTGGGTGAGCCGAAGAGGAACAGGGGGCAAGAGGTCCTGGTCACCTGTCTGCACCAGTGACCCGAGAACTGATCAACAGACAGCTGAGGTCCACACACTCAAGGAAGAAGAGCTCTCTGTTTCTCAAAATGCTTTCAGGTTTGGAGACATAAAACTATAAAAAATAAATAATAATAAAAATAATATGAACTCAGAATTGTGATCAGGTAAAATGAAATGTCTAATTTAAATTCATGAGGTCACAAATTAAGAATACTTTTTCAACCAGCAGAGATCTTTGAAAATGCGGTCTTTTCAAATGCCTTTGAAACTCAATGGACAATAAGACTCAAAGAAATTAGTCAACATACTTCACCTTTAATTTGAAACAATTTTAAAGGTGCACTTTGTAGGTCCACTATCTGCTTGTCTCCCTGGAGTTAATGGTTTGCCTGGAATGTTCCACAGTTTGGCATTTAACATACAAATCTCCATGGATGGTCACATTTCTATATAGTGCTTTTCCACGTCAATATATTCAAAGAGCTTTACATCATCCACTCACACACGCATTCATACACGGTGCACAGTGGGTTAAATGTTGTGCCCAAAGACACAATGACAGCATTCATCTGTGGGAGCTGGAATTGCACTGCCCACCTGTCAGTCAGTGGATCTCACAGCTCAACCAATGATGTTTATGTGGAAAGTGGGACTCAAACTGCCAGCCTTTGGATCAGTGGACAAACACTCCACCAACAAAGCTACTGTCTCCAAACAATCTATAGCTCTGAGTAATGCTGGATGAACAAAGCAATGTAACAAAAGCCATCCAACAACAGAGGGTGCCTCCAACAGATACTAAATACATTTATACATTTCTGAATGCTTTTTTATTCCCAGTCTCCCCTTCGCTTAAGACACATGTGTAGTGTAAATGAAGGCTTTTACCTGTTCGAGTTTCCAGTGGAACTCTGCTGGCCTGAAGGAGTCTGCTCGGCTGAAGTCTCTCCTCAGCAGAAACACCAGGCGACAGTTATGGACGTACAGACTGTAGTGGTGACGGTTCATTTCTACACAAAAGCAAATAGATAACATACAATCAGGTCAGTGTAAAATGCACAATGTTTCTGCTTTTCAGCTGGTCTCCATGGAGATGACAATTCTTTGCCAAGAATGTTTCACAGTATGGCATTAAACTTAATAATAACTGAAAATAAGTTTACTGCCATACTGTGTTTGCCTGGGATCCAGAAAAAAACACAGTTCTTCAACCTTTTATGAAGATGCGAATTGAAATTTTCTGTTTTCAAATGAGCGCGACTGACAGATGGATTAGCCAATCAGGGACATGCATGGAAAAAAAAATAAAAATTTAATCACACTCAAAATATAGCAGATTTTTTTCAGAATCAATGAGCAAAGCATTAAACTCTATTAATATAAGAGATCAATTTGATTTTATTAGTAAATTATATGAATAAATAAATAATATATATAAAAAACTCAGAGTGGACAATCACGTTCCATAAGCTTGAGATTTGGCGGAGGGTGTGGGGACCGGACTGATATTGATCTGTATAAAAACTACAGAGAGACCATTCTGAATCTCCAGGCAAATGCTGTGCAACAATCAAAGCAAATCAATAAAATCTCTAGGACAAGACATTAATACATTCTGTAAACTGTAAACTTATTTACTTTTACTAAAAATCATATTTTTATCTTCATAATATTGTTTTAAATTACAGGTACATGCTTTAAAAAGAAATATGTTGTCTCCCTTATCTCCCTTGTCTCCCTTAACACACATCTTTGTTATACTTTTTTTCTGGTAGAGATTCCATCAAATGCTTTTCTCCATTTAGACGTTATTGCTTTGTCTGAAATGTTTCACAGTACGGCATAAAAATTTTCAATCATCATGGAGACCAAACCAAACCATCAGGTCAGATTTGTGGAGAAACAATCCCACTCAAAGTCACAATGCCTGTCTTTCTAGGTATTTTTGAGCTATAAAACCACCTGTAATTGAATAAATGTAAGATAGACCTGATTAATGTCATATTGTGGAACATCTGAAGCAAAAGCAATTACATCTCCGACAGACCCCCAACGGAAAAACTACGTAGTACACCTTTAAAGATGGGACATTATGCAAAATTGACTTTTCTGAGATTTCTACCAAGTTATAACGTTGTTTGCTCATCAAAAGCATACCTGAAGTGATTTTATTTGCTATTCATTCATGTTTGATTAATCTAGCAATCTCTCAGCCCACAATATACAACTTCACAAACCTGATACGATGTGTAGTATTAGTAGGAAGTATTTTTTATGATGTTGCGTAGGTTTTTTATAAGTTGCTAAATGACTAAAGATGATTGTCATTATTCTTAACTATCCCACACTGACCGGTCTTATCCGAGTTACAGAGCAGCGTCTCCTTCTCGGCCCTGAGTCCGGGGCTGGGGCCGTGCTTCATCCAGGTCGCTATGGTGAACTGGTCCGTCAGGTTCTGAGGGACCACCCAGTCCGGGATCTTGGCCGCCTGCCGCCCGTCGAACCTGAAGATGAGGTCGCTGTCTCTGCCGCTGTCCGTCACTAATGAAAACGTCCAGTTGGTAGCGCCACTGGGGGCCGGGAGGAGGTCTGTGCTGCCAGAGGAGGCACCTAGGGGAGAGACAGAAGAAACAATGGTAGGTTACAGACTCTGTGCCGCGACGCAGACGATTTGACGCACGACCGTAAATTGGACTTTACTCTGCAAATACAGTGGTTTTCAACGACCTTATCTGTGCTGTGCTAAAAGAAAAGTATGAGTATTGAAATTAGACAGGATTTTGCATAGAAAACTTGCCAGCAGAATTCTCCACCTGCTGCTGTACAAATGATGCAGTTAGAATAGGCTAATAACACAAGCTGATGATAATAATAGAATTTGGTGGATGTGGATTGAAGAAAATCTAAGTGCTGAAATTATCCAAATGACTCCTGTAAAGTGAATGAAAAACACTGCGTCTGTTCATACTGTTCTATTGATCAAGTCCCGTCCTGATGGTTTAGTCTAGGTTTTGGCCTGTTTTAGTTCTGGTTTAGTCCTGGTTTGGCCCTTGTTCAGTCCTGGTTTAGTTCTGATTTAGTTCTGGTTAAGCCTTTGTTTAGTATTTGTGTAGTTCTGGTTAAGTTCTGGTTTAGTCCTGGTCTAGTCTTGGTTTTGTCCTGGTTTGGTTTTTGTCTAGTCCTATTCTAGTCCTGGTTTAGTAGGGGTTTAGTCCTGGTTTAGTTCTAGTTTAGTCCTGGTTTCGTTCTGATTTAGTTTTGGTTAAGCCCTTGTTTAGTCCCGGTTTATTCCTGGTTTAATCCCGGTGTAGTTCTGGTTTACTCTTGGTTTAGTTCTGATTTAGTCCTGGTTTAGTTCTGTTTAGTCCTGGTTAAGTCCTGGTGTGGTTCTGGTTTAGTCCTGGTTTAGTCCTGGTTTAGACCTGGTGTAGTTCTGGTTTAGTCCTGGTTTAGTCCTGCTTTAGTTCTGATTTAGTCCTGGTTTAGTCCTGGTTAGTTTTTTATATAGGCCTTGTCTAGTCCTGATTTAGTTGTGGTTTAATCCCGTTTTAGATCTGGTTTAGCTCTGCTTTAGTCCTGGTTTAATCCTGTTTTAGATCTGTTTTAGATCTGCTTTAGTCCCGGTTTAGTTCTGGTCCAGCCCTGCTCTAGTCTAGCTTTAGTTCCAGGTCAGTCCCATGTTTTATGCAGCGTGTGTCTGAGTCTGATGGCACATACAACACACACAGAGGCGTGTCTGGGCAATATGAGCTCTTAAGACGGATCAAAAAGTCAATATACCATTATAAAGACCTACAGGAAGAATCCAGCACAGCATCTGCATAATATCGACAATTTAGCAACAATTTCTCCCATACAATCCCTCCATGTCCTTCATTCCTGTATACTGTGCTACCACATGAACTGCCTATCAGACACGTGTTCCACTTGTCAATACCAATCTCCTCACATATGGCGGCTAAAGTGGCCTAACCTTGGCTATGATGACTTCAGAGTAAAGCAGATGGCAGGTCTAATATGTAGTCAATGGGGGAGACGGACAGCGGATGTGGATATTGATTCGAGGCAAATGAATCTGACATTCACAGAGACCGGTTTGTGTGTCACTGTTCGAGAGTGATTCCGATCAGAACCAAATCAAACAGGATAATCCACATGTAATGGTATTTTTTATGGAGAAGTTTACCTTTGCTACTATAATAAACTGATATTACTACGACTATTACTATTAATGTTGCTGCTACTATGCTATGACAGTTACGACTAACGACTAATGCTACTACCGCTATAACTACTATTATTACTACTACAGCTGCTACTACAACTACTTTTATGACTACTACTTCTGCTACTAGAATAGAATATCTTTATTTGTCATTGTAACAGATACAACTAAATTAAGTGCAGTTCTCGTTCAGTGCAACTACTACTAATACTACTACTACTACAACTGCTGCTATGATGACTACTACTGCTACTGTTACTGCTACGACTACTGCAAATACTACAACTAAAAACTACTGCTCCTACTGCTGCTATGACTATGGCTACTTCTACTACCATTGCTGCTACCACTACTATTACTACTACTACTACTACTACTACTACAACTACCACTATTATTGCTACTATTACTACTATTATGACTGCAAAGATCACTGCGACTAATACAACTAACAATGCTACTACAATACTACTACAATAATTAATACTACAACTACTACTACTATTACAACTGCAATGACTACTGCAGCTACTACAACTAATGAATACTGCTACTACTGCTATTACTGCTGCTATGACTGTGGCTACTTCTACTACTATACAGTACTGTACTCTACTACTACTACTACTACTACAACTACTACTATTGCTACTGCTACTATCATGACTGCAAAGATTACTGTGACTCCTACAACTAACAACTACTGCTGCAATGACTATGGCTAAATTTTCTACTGCTACTTCTACTACTACTACTACTACTATTACGATTGCAGAGATTACTGTGACTACTATAACTAACAACTACTGCTGCTATGACTATGGCTAAATCTACTACTGCTACTACTGCTACTTCTGCTACTTCTGCTACTACTACTACTAATTCTACTACTACAGCTAATACTACTATTGCTCCTGCTACTATTACGACTGCAAAGATTACTGCGACTACTACAGCTAATAACCGCTGCTATGACTATGGCTAAATTTTCTACTACTACTTCTGCTACTACTACTGTTACTCTTGCTACTACTCCTACTCCTACTCCTGGTACTACTCCTACTACTCCTACTCCTACTCCTATAACTACTACTACTACTACTACTACTACTACTACTACTACTACTACTACTACTACTACTAGGACATCATATTTGTGGCCTTCCCCTGCTTGTCTCCAGCTCATCTGAATGCATATTGTCCTCTCTTGGCTCCCTTAGCTCCCAGTGCATGCTCGGTTCACCACTAAAGACTCCTCTCAGTCACCTCATAATGGTTATCTGATGGGGACAGAATCAGGTGTAATTGCCTTTTTAAAGCACAATCAATTCCAGATAATGTACAAAGGCATTGGCAGAAGGTGCAGGCTCCAGCTGCTATTTACCCTGGGGATAATTACTGCAGACAGGATGAGATAGGAAAATACTGGCTTATAAATAGCATCTTTTCATCAAATTCATCACTCATTTTCTGTATTTTTCACTTTTTAAGACATGGTTCATTGGTATTGAAAATGTATTTATTTAATTTCTAGACACGCCAAAACACATAAAGTAGTAGCAGCAGCAGTAGCAGCAGTAGTAGTATCAGTACTAGTAGTAGTAGTAGCAATAGTAGTGGTAGCAGCAGCAGCAACAATATTAGTAGTAGTAGTAGTAGTACTAGTAGTAGTAGTAGTAGTAGTAGTAGTAATTGTAGTGGTAGCAGAAGCAGTAGCATTAGCATTAGTAGTAATAGTAGTAGCAGTAGTAGTAGATGTAGTAGTATTAGCAGCAGCAATAGTAGTAGTAATAATAGTAGTAGTAGATGTAGTAGTAGTAGCAGCAGCAATAGTAGTAGTAATAGTAGTAGTAGATGTAGTAGTATTAGCAGCAGCAATAGTAGTAGTAATAATAATAGTAGTAGATGTATTAGTATTAGCAGCAGCAGTAGCAGTAGCAGTAAGTAGTAGTAGTAGTAGTAGTAGTAGTAGTGTAGTAGTAGTAGTAGTAGTAGTAGTAGTAGTAGTAGTAGTGGTAGTAGTTGTAGCAGTAGTAGCAGCAGCAGTACCAGTACCACTAGTGGTAGTAGTAGCAGCAGCAGCAGCAGTAGTACCAGTATAATAGTAGTACTAGTAGTAGCAGCAGCAGTAGCAGTAGTAGTAGTAGTAGTAGTAGTAGTAGTAGTAGTAGTAGTAGTAGTAGCAGCAGCAGTAGTAGTAGTAGTAGTAGTAGCAGCAGCAGCAGCAGTAGTACCAGTAATAGTAGTACTAGTAGTAGCAGCAGCAGTAGCAGTAGTAGTAGTAGTAGTAGTAGTAGTAGTAGTAGTAGTAGTAGTAGCAGCAGCAGCAAAAATAGTAGTTGTAGTAGTAGTAGTAGGAGTACAGCAGTAATGTAAGTATTTAGTTGTATTAGTTTGAGTAGTTTCAGCATTCTTGGAATTGATAAAATAGTACTTTTTGTTACTTTTTTAGAAAAATACCAATACTCCATACTAATCTAACCTTGTGTATGCAATAAATACATGTAAAAACCTGACAGAAATGGCTTTAACTTTCTTTGCATATGTTAATTTGTATCAATATTTCCATAAAAGTATCCTCGGTCAGTCAATATATCAATACTTCAATACTGATACTCGTATTCCTAATTTAAAGATGATCCTTGAAAAGCCAAGTATGTTGTGCACGTCTAAGTATGTGACTGCTTCGTGCGGCGTGGGCAGAGACTCCAGTTAATGTACTTGTGTCAGATCATTAGCCACACAGCCTTCAGATTCATGTCAGCACGGGCACAGACACGGGGAAGTTCACACTGGCAGCTTTCAGGTTTATAAAGAGCACAGACTGGTGCCCTGGGTCCTGCCTCGCCCCTGCTCTCATTCACAACATCATCTCATCATCTTCAGTCAAAAGTCAACTCTGATAAGTAGTGTATTTACTGTGTATGTGGGTCATAGTAGGTCCAGCGCTCAGTGTAATTTCCTGCCATAGAATCCAACTGGTCATTTCCTCGTACATAAGCAAGATCTTAACTCGTCACATCTTTTAAATTCCCAAGACAAACACTGGTAGTCATAAAAGCAGTAGCAGCAGCAGAAATAGAAGCAATAGTACCAGTAGTGTACCCACCAAAGTTTCAGGAGGGTCTTCTCAGAGTAAGTCTCAATAAAGTACTAATATCTGCAGTGGTTCAGTAGTAGTAATGGTCGTAGTAGTAGAAGTAGCAGAAGCAATAGTAGTGTAGTGTTTATCCATTGCAGAGTCTCTGGAGTAGATCTCATTAAAGTATTACATTTGTAGTGGTTCAGTATTAGTGATAGTAATTGTAATAGTAGAAGTAGTAGTAGTAGTAGTAGTAGTAGTAGTAGTAGTAGTAGTAGGAGTAGGAGTATTAGTTGTAATCTAGTGGTACTCACCAAAGTTTCTGAAAGGTAGGTCTCATTACTCACTCCGCTACTTGTATTATGTGGTGGTAAAGTAGAGGTAGTAGTTGCAGTAATAGAAGAACTAGTAGTAATAGTACTAGTAGCAGTAGCAGTAGTAGAAGTAGTAGACGCAGTAGTACCAGTAGTTTACCCACCGCAGGGTCTCTGGAGTAGATCTCTCGAGTATTATATTTGTAGTGGTTCAGTATTGGTAATAGTAATCGTAATCGTAATAGTAGTAATAGTAGTAGTAGTAGTAGTAGTAGTAGTAGTAGTAGTAGTAGTAGTAGGAGGAGGAGGAGGAGGAGTAGTAGGAGTAGTAGTAGGAGTATTATTAGTTGTAATCTAGTGTTACGCACCAGAGTTTCTGGAAGGTGGGTCTCATTACTCACTCTGCTACTTATATTATGCGGTGGTGAAGTAGAGATAGTAGTAGCAGTAATAGAAGTACTAGTTATAATAGCAGTAGTAGCAGCAGTAGTAACAATAGTAGTAGTAGTAGCAGTATCACTCACCACAGAGTTTCTGGAGGGACTTCTCAGAGTAGGTCTCCCGGTCACAGCCTTTGCCGATGTGGCTTGTCTGGAGCTCCACGGTGGTCCTCACGGAGGACAGGGGCCCCCCACACGTCTCCAGGTGCATCTTGGGAAACAGTTGTTTACTGCCTGTCCCTGGTTCATAGTCCACCCTCTTACTCCATCCTGAACAGACACAAGGAAAAACAGTAAAGAAAGGTTAAGTTAAGACGGCAATTTGGCAATGTGCATTATTCCCCAATTCATAATTGTTTGCATGCCAGGTCTGTGGAGGAGCGAATCAGACTCCACTCACTGTAAGAATGCATATTTTTTGGTCAAAATTTCAGGCATAAAGTACCTGACCCTCCACCAAAAATCAAATTAAAAGAGTGGTACAATAAATATATGGAGACTAAAAACACTAGTAATTCCTCGTGATGCTAAGACCCGTCAGTCATTCATAGTGCAGTCAGAATTCTGAAAGCATTTATCAGACAACACATATTTCTGCTTTTTACCATCTGTTATTTGAATGACTTCATCTTTACGGCAGATTTTCATTTTGATTGCACATAAAGCCTTCCTTGATATCTGCACAACAGGATGTAACCACTGTGAGAATAATAAAACACATCTTATCTCCTCTTCAGTTATCTTGAGTCCCCTGATCCCTGTCTCTCTTTTAATATAATAGCCACACTATGAACTTTTATGTTGGAGGGTCTCCTTATCGGTTTGGAGATACTATTTTACCTTGAATGCTCCCCAGAATGGCATTAAATTAATATATCACCATGGAGACAAGCAGCAGGTACAAATGCGTGTTTTTAAGGTATTTTTAGCCATCAAAAGAACTGTAAATGAATAAATTGCAACATCAAACAGGTCGCAAACCCCCTGTCAGAAAGAGGCTGTAATTTTGTGTCTGGAATTATGTTGGCTATTAATACCTTTCACATGATTTGGTTCCCTGGCAGGCGTGGGGTTAAACTAACTAGAGGCACTGCGCTGTCTTAAGCTCTGTTGCTCAAATTACTCTTTAATCTGGGCTTTATTTAAACACAATCTACGCTGCGTTCATGTGGTCCCCGGGTGCTCAAGGTTCCAAGATATGAGAAGTCAGGATTATGACTAGTTTGCATTCACGTGCTTATATCCAGGAATTAAGTCAGAACTGTAACAGCACCGATAATAAAATCACTGAGTCTGCTCATTAACAGCTTTAATGAAGCTAACTGGGGGGATTTGTTCTTGCTGTTATACTTCTGAGTCTCAAAAGCTAAAGTATAACATTATTTATGTACTTAACATTGCATAAAAAATTAATACAACGGTTGTGTTGGCCTTTCTTGTGCAAATGTGTTGATTTTTTTATATGGACAAATGACTGCATTTTTACTGTGAGCCTGATGTGTTAGGCCTGATGGTGTCGCCTGCTTGTCTCTATGGAGACAGGTAGGTTTTAATGCCCTACATCTAGAACATTCCAAACAAAGTCATAACATCTTCATAAAGACCAGCAGGTAGCAAACTGTCCGCCAGAAAGTGACACAGTGCATCTTTAAATGTGATAATAGAATAGGTGATAGCTAAGATCAATTAAATTCAATCAATCAATCAATGAGCCTGGTGAGGGACTACAGGTGGAAATTAGCACTGGTGCTACAACCTGGTACAATGCATCTCTCCTATTAAGGTTAATGTAGTGTATATTGTACACTGTCCCTGACTCATATAAATAAACTAAACTAGATAAAATAAAAAATAACATGTCTCGATATGGACAACAGACTGTGAACCCCTAAATGTAATAACAATATCTGTGTACTCCCTCAGTCGTCCAAGAGCCGTAGCAAAGGAGAAATTCAATTCTGTCAATTGGACAAATGTTTTTGATTGAAGAAATTTTGCATCTCATCTGCTTCTTCAGTTCTGGTCAGACGCTGGTGGACATCTGCCTGAACGGAGGAGCTAACTACACTCAAACTACTCTGAAACTAACCTACTTGTTTACCGTTTCTATTTGTTGGCTAGGTCTATTGAACCGCACTAAGTGTGAATGGTACCTGAGTCATATTAGCATAATCATTCAGACCCCTGGTGGGTGCTTTCACATCTCTGAGCCCGAACAGGCTATCACTGTTGTTTTCTTTGTTTTGATGCAGGTCTAAAGATGGAATTGTAAATAGGGGATAGACGACATCTGAGCCTCCCATTTCTGAGTCTTCAATCAAAAACGTCTGTCTAATTGACAGAATTAAATTTTTCTTTTGCTAAATGTAATATGTTTAGTCAAAGAAATATTTCAGATACATTGAGAGATCAACTGATTTTGGTTCGTCTCAACACAGCAGGTGACGTCAGGTGTAGAAGTTGGACAGCAGGCTTTGACCCAAGTTCCTAAATTGTTTTTCCAACTTGTACAGTGTTCAACTCAAAATGTTGAAAAATGCACAAGTTCACATGACTGCAGCAATACATGCAGTCCTCCCCAGCGTGATGTAACCCCAGAGTATTGTTTCTAACTGTCAAACTGACATTTCTGTATTGAAACTTCGTGTTTTTCTACAGTTCAAACAAACCCGTGTCCAATATGTCAGAGCCAGTGTTGCTTTTGATGGCACTAGCAGATAGCGCTGTGGTTAATGAAATGCTACATTGTTGCTGAAGAACCGTTGGCTTGGTGGATTAGCGGGACTCGTCATTAAACTGTCACAGAATGGAGTTTTCAGATGCGCAGAAGTAGACAGGCTTTCATTTTCTACTGTTCTGAGGGTTCTTTAGTTGTGGACCATTATATTTTATTGGATTTGAGGTGACAGTAGTTTCAGTTTTTTATTTTCTCAAACTTTTCAAAGCAAGAAAAACTCAGATAGTATTTGATAGTTTTACTAAATGATATGAATCAACTATGACCTGGATTAGCAGTACAAATGTAAAGGCTGTATGGCTGTTTCTCATCTTAAAGGTACACTAAGTAACATTTCTGTTGTTCAGCCACCTGCTTATCTCCAAGATGATGTTATTGCTTTGGATTGTTTTTAGCAAGGCTAGTGCTACCTAGTGCCTGCACTCAATTTCATTTTTCTCCAGCAACTAGGTCAGGAATTGGAATGCACTAGACAGTTTGCAAGAACCCTGGAAGTGAGAGTCCGAGCACCAGTCAGTCAGTGAAGAGCCATACATTCTGTGCTGGGAATGATTCCCGAGGCCAAGATCGAGGATTTAAAGCCAGAAAAAAGAAAATGTTTGGTGAATTTTATCCAAAGGAAAGACGTTATTGCCCTTCTTCCTCGGGGATTTGGGGAAAGCTTAATATGCCAGTTAGACCCGTTAGTGGCACATTACATACGTCACAACCAAATAGCAGCAATTGGTTAAAAAAAAGTACCCGCCTAACGTCGAGTGAACAAATTCTAATACTGCAAGGTCAGACGGTTCCCCATGCTATGATGAATCAGGCCAAGATGTTCTACAGTAATTCTTAAAATGTAACTTCCAAAGCCGTTTATATCTTTTTTTTTTTTTTAAATACATTAAAAAAACAAACATATTTAGTTTAGTCCTGGTTTAGAACTGATTTAGAGCTGCTTTAGACCTGGTTTAGTCCTGGTGTAATCCTGGGTCAGTCCTGGGTCAGTCCTGGTTTAGTCCTGGTTTAGTCCTGGTTTAGTTCCGGTTCAGTCTGAATGCGGCGCAAAAGTCCAGCATCTCGATCGATGTTTCTTCTGCTCAACAAATAATTCCTGTGAAGTGATGACGTATTTTTGACAGTAAAGTCGCGTCTGTGAATTCGTATTCGTACTGAAGAAAGCGTAATCGTAAATTTTCATTTTGTGAATCTTCTTGATGTCATAACTTTTCAATTCGTATTCTGATGGATAAAATACATGCAACACATTTTATGTATGACTGAACTCATTTGAGAGTTTACGAACATTTATTTTATGCTCAACTACAGCCAAATATGTATAGATTTCTATCCTATGCACACAAATATTTCTGAAAGCTTTCGTACTCCATACAAACTCTCCAACAGAAAAGTGACACAATTCCCGTTAATCTTTAAACATAATACAAGGTCCTGCTACATTACACAACATTGAAGTAAACGCGAAGAACGCTGTTACCTTCTCAAAAACATACCTGGATTTGTGTTTTGATTCATTCACACGTTTGAGTAATTCCGGGTTATTATTAGTCTGTGTACATCTCCAAAGCTCAAAATGCTCTGTTCCACCTTGTGACACACCTTTAACATTTACAGTTTGGCAATTCCAGGACTGAAATCATCCAAATGATTCTAGTGAAAGTGTATGGAGTTTAAAAACAAAGTAGAGCTCTTCCTGTATTACCACATGACATCACAAGGTGGGACAGAGTTTTTTTTTTTCAGTTTGAGAGCAGAATTCAGCATAAATATACAGGACTTATGCGTTAAACGTGTGTGGTGGATACCTCTGCCACCACTCCATAGTGTCAGTATTATTTAATTTTCATTATTATTTACATTAAGTTAATTACACTACACATAATTTAATTCTTTATTTATAATTTAATTTTTTATTTAGATTTATGTTCTAATTTGAGTGCACGCATTTTAGTTAATATAAGTCTAATTTACTTACACTTGTTCTTTTTGTTTTTTTGAGCACCGGACGGACGACCCTGGGAGAGACCATCAGGACTCAGCAAAGGGGGGAATTTAGTTTGTTTTACTAAGTTAATTTGTTTAGTTTGTGTTAAGGTCACATTATTATCACTTATTATTTTCTGTATTATAATTATTTGTTTTTTTGTTTACTTTGATTAAGTTATTGGTTTAGTTAGTTAATTAGTGTAATTCCTCCCTCTTGTGTTTAGCTTTAGTTGGTCCTCAGGTATTTAAACACACCTGTTCCTTTGTCTGGTTGGGTTAGTTTTGTTCTGTTCAGTTTGATTTTGAGTTACCCCAGTTGGGCCCAGCTTTTTTGTTAATAATTTGCCTAATTTGAGCCTTTGTTAAATTATATCTTTTTTGGCTTTATTAAATTTAAACTTATTTTTATACCTTGTCTTTGCCTTTCTGTTTGGTCCACTACAACGTGTGTGAATGAAACAAAACAAAACACAACTCTGGGCATGTTTTTGACAAGAAAACAACATTATAACACAGATCAGAAAATAGTGTGATATTGGCCATT